ATTTATTTTGTGCTTCAGTTTCCTAATGCAGAAGAAAGTTTCTACCCCAGACAGTAGCCCTGCAGATTAAAAAGGTGACTCTTACCACAGTACCTGACCCTGCGCCACTCAACAAACATCAGTAACGATGCCATTGGCTTAGCCTCTCCACCTCTTACAGTTTGCCCAAGGAAGAGAAGAACCATTGAGAGCCACAAAGAACTTCAGTGGAAGTGGTAGCTGTTAGACATAGTGAGCTCTGCCTTGGCTTTGAGGGCTGTTGGAGGCTAAGGGCATATTGAACTGTATTCTGGGAAAAGCACCCAAGATATGTATTCTGCTTTGGCCCTATCTTTTCTCCTTTGGTGAAATGCACTGATTCTTGAGGGCCACAGCTCCCATGAGCCTGCTTCTGTTCTCTCATCCCTCCAACTGGGCACAGATGATTTCCTCATGTTCATTGCTAGGGTGAGGGCAGGAGAATGTATCCCTGCTTGGGGATACATTCCGTTTTCTTTATTTCCAAAACCTGGCTTCAAGGCTACAGAATGCAGTGAGTGATGCAAAGAAGTGTGCAGAGACCAAAGTGGGTTGATGGGATTTTCAGATATTGTTAGGGGACAGTGCTGCAGTGCCCATGTCTCCCTCAGAAGCTTCTACCCACGCGAGGCAGAAGGCATGCTACTTGTGAACACACCAGTGTTTCTTATTTCATTTCCCCACTAGTTGGCCCTAAAACAGCTTTTTGGTTCATTTTGATAGATGCCCACCCTGACCCCACCCATCCTTATTTTCAGCAATTTGTTTCCTATGAACAAATGTTTTGGAAACCCCAACTATCTCAGTACTAGTATCCTCCCATAGCTCAAAGCAATCAGATTTGATTATCTTGATGATAAATGCATGAACTAATGGGAAAGTGTTGTTCCTTCACATGTCATCAAGACTTTACAGTTGTTACTCTTAAGAAACAAACTTTAGGGAGCCATTAGAGTTGAAAAGAAAACTGACTCTAGAGATATGTCCAAAGACCAACTAACAAACTGAGGAACAGTGGAAAGGATACCTTAAATGCCCTTCCCTGATAATGAGATTGATAACTAACTTATATGTCATCATAGAGCCCTCATCTAGTAGTTGATGGAAACAAAAGCAGACACACACAACTAAACACTGAGCCAAACTCCTAGAATCCAGTTGCAGAGAGGGAGGAGTGATGAGAAAAGGGGTCAAGCCCAGGCTGCAAAAACCCACAGAGACAGCTGACCTGAACAAGGGGGAGCTCATGGACCCCCAGACTGGTGGCTGGGAAACCAGCATTGGACTGACTCAGACCTCCTGAACATGGGTCTCAGTTAGAAGGCCTGGGCAGACTAAGGGACCTCTGACAGTGGAACCAGGATGTATCCCTGGTGCACAAAAGGACTTTGGGAGCACATTCCCCATGGAGGGATACTCCCTTAGCCTAGAGGCAGGAGGGAGGACCTAGACCCTACTCCAAATGACTTGACAGATTTTGATGACACCTTCTAGAAGGCATCCACCTCCTTGTGTAGTGGGGGGGTAGGTGGGATGGGAGGGGGATTGGGAGGACATGGGATGGAGGGAGAGGGAACTGGGATGTAAAATAAGAAAAAATAATAATAAAAATAAAATAAATAAAAAAGTTTAATATTAATTTTACTTAGTTTACAAGACAAAAAAAAAATCAAACACAGCTTGGTACTTAATGTTTCAGGACCACAAACACAGGATGGAAGTTTCTAAGGTTTTAGCTTGCTCCAAGTCCTCCCTTTATATGTAAAGGAAATCAAGATTAGCAAGATGAACAAGTCAAGGTCACAGGTCTGGTTTGAAGTAAGGTTAGAGTGCAAACCCAGAGCCTATGACAAGGAGGAACTGTCAATTAAGGTAGCAGTTACAGAGCAACTTCTAAACACAGAGTACAGAGCAAGGTATGGGGAAGTCCACCCCACCCAAAGTCACCTTCCTGTTCTTGAGTGGAGGGAGAAATTGAGTCTCTGGGTACAACTATGAACATTATGAAAAGAAGATAAGGGTGTGTGTGTGTGACAACAGTCATTATCTGAGAGGTGGATGAGTAGGAATTAGTGAGATGAAGGGCTGTGGCCTGGGGGTGGGAAGGAGGGAGGGGAAGCTCCCTGAGGGAAGGGGCCTGAAGGTAATTCCAGTGAGGATGACCTTAGGATGACTTGCAGCCATCCTAAGTGTCCGTTAATGCAATACACCTTTCTGACTTTTGAATCAAACAAAAGGCAGCTGGCTTTCCCTTGCCTCTTTGCTTTTATTGTCATCCTATTTGGGTAGGAACAATTTGAGAATGTAATCTCCAGTTACTAATGCCTGTTGGCAGCAAGAATCAGTAAGCACTGGGAGGGCGGAAGGGGACTGAACTGGAGTCTGAAGTGACTTGTTGGATTTTAAATCACAAAAAACAATTTATTTGAACTCATTTAAAACCTATCAGCATGTATTTTCTGACTTCTTTTATATTATTCCAGAACTTGAAAGACTTCTTCATCATCAGTTTCTTGATGCCCAATTCCCACTAAAGCTGGATCCCTTGTTTTCACTCTCCCCACTTTCTTCTACTGAAATATAAGGAAAAGGAGACGCTAAGAGAGGCTACCAGGGAAAGAATGCTGTGCGATGCTTGGTGCTCTGAGTTCGCGTTTGTTCTTCTAGATGGGACCTTGCTGCAAATGACTTAGAACCCATTAGAAACTTCCTCTTGTCTTGATTTTTCTTCTGTTCTTAATACTAAACCCATTCTACCCTGCATTTATTTGTTACTTTTATTTTTAAATCATATTTAATTTTTTGTGTATGAGTGCATGTGCCTACGAGTGTTCTCTCTCTCTCTCTCTCTCTCTCTCTCTCTCTCTCTCTCTGTGTGTGTGTGTATGTGTATGTGCATGCACAAGGGCATGCATGTGTGTGTGTGTGTGTGTGTGTGTGTGTGTGTGTGTGGTGTAGGTCAGAGGGTCAGAGTACAACTTATAGAAGTTGGCTCTTTCCTTCCACCAATGTGGGTCCCAAGTACCGAACTTGGATAATTAAGGCACCTTTATCTGATGAGCCCACTTTGCTTTCATAATTGCAAAGTTTGGAGTAGAGCAGACCTACAGTCAGACACATGATGGAAATGAGGAAGTTCATTCATTGACCTTGTCAATCAGTGGAAATGAGTTTCTAGTTCCAGTCCCAAATGGGGAGAGCAGAGAGCAGTAGAGCAATGACAAGGAAAGAACCACACATCATAAGAGCGATACAGGCATCTGGTGACTACACAGGGTTACCATTCAGCAGAGTGAGTCTCTGTGTATGGACAGGACACGTACTCTCTGACTTTTACATACTTCTATGACTTTTAGCTTGATCTCTGTGTGTGTGTGTGTGTGTGTGTGTGTGTGTGTGAGAGAGAGAGAGAGAGAGAGAGAGAGAGAGAGAGAGAGGGAGAGAGAGGCTGAGAGAGAGAGAGAGAGAAAGAGAGAGAGAGAGAGAGAGAGAGAGAGAGAGAGAGTTGGGAATTGAGCCTAGGGCTTCAGAATTTTGATTCTTATGCATCCTAACTGTTACAATTTGAAGAGAGATAATCATTCTTTAAAATTCCTTTTCCCTCTAGACTTTAAAATGCATGTAAAAATATAAAATATAAAAGACATGGAGTTCAGGCTACAGGGCTACCTGGGAATATTGATATAGTAAGTTTTGAATCATCAAGATTATCAAACCACCAGAAATATTGAAGATGTTCTGAAGAGCTACTCAAATCAATAATAGACATTACAGTTGTCATTGCATAGTCATTACAGATGAACTCAAAGATTGGGACTAACTGAAAGAGATAGGTAAAAATAATGAAGCTGTCTGCTGATATTAATATGACTCTAGGATCTTTTAAAATTCCCTCTTCTTTCCGTTCTTGTATCTATCAATGGGACTTGCTTCTTATCAATTTCAGGACAGAAGCCTAGATATAGCTTTCTCCATTGTCAATCCATCACCACATCTAGTCTTTCTTATCACCTCTCAGATTAGTCCTTTCAGCCTTTTTTTTTTTGTTACCCTTCTTCTCCGAGCCCTTGTCACTACCCTATACAGTACAATAGTCTAGTGTGACCATGGTGAACTGACTACTTTTCCAGTGTCTAGAGACGTCTTCACTGCCTGAATCGGAATGGAACCTGGAGATCCCTTCTTGCTGTAGAAGACAAAGCAAGTAGATGGTTTTCCCTGATTCTCTTGCAGCCATAGTCATGGGCCCACACTTGGGGTTGGCTAACCAGAGGCAGCTATCCTGATCCTAGGTGCTGGGGCTAACAATAACCGCAGAAGCAAAGGAGAACCCTGTTGTTGCAGCAGCTCTACTGGCAGTGTCAGCAAGTGTCTTAGGGTCCTCGAGTTCCAGGACAGTACCACAGCCACACTGTCCCATGCTGAGCAGTTCCACAGAAAACATGTCCATGGTTCTGGTGATGGGACATCTTCATTTCTGTAAATTTCTAAGACATGATTGGCTAATGTCCTCAGCATGTCTGTAAATGATGTTAATCTATTTGAAACTTCCTTTCCTGCTGAAGATGGTAAGAATCAATTTCTGTTCTAAAATGCTCCCACAGTGATCTGGTTTCTATGTTCAGCCCCCAAAGATGCCAAACTTTCGAAACGTCAACTTTATTGTCATATAATTTTTCTGTTTAAGAAGAACAATGGATTCTAGTCAGTCACTTTCAGATTTTTTTCATGATATTCACAGATATGTCAATATTAAAAATCATTACATAAAATAGAGACAAGCATGTCATAAAAATTAACTTTTCCGCATCTAAGAAACATTGGTATTTGTATTTATTTCCCATTTGTTTCCAATTTTTCAAAAGCCAATACATAATGATAAAATTTATCTGAAAACATGGGTGTAGCCTATATTGTGATATTTAGGCTCTCTTCAGAGTGTTATTAATGTAAGACATGGACAAGAAGTGCATAAAGGAAACAAGCTGTGCACTCCAGAACTGTGAACCTGTTTGGCAGCAGCAACTAAATGCAGAAAATCCCATGGCAGAGCAGGTGGCCCTGAGCTGGACCCAGGTGTGTGGGATCCTGAGGGAAGAGTTGTACCAGGGTGATGCCTTCCATCAAGCTGATACACACATATTTATCATCATGGGTGCATCCGGTGACCTGGCCAAGAAGATCTATCCCACTATCTGGTGGCTGTTCCGGGATGGACTTCTACCTTCATTGTGGGCTATGCCTGCTCCTGTCTCACAGTGGATGACATCCGCAAGCAGAGCAAGCCCTTCTTTAAAGCCACTCCAGAGGAAAGGCCAAAGCTAGAGGAGTTCTTTGCTCGTAACTCCTATGAGGCTGGCCAGTATGATGATCCAGCCTTCTACAAGCACCTCAACAGCCATATGAATGCCCTACATCAGGGGATGCAGGCCAACAACCTATTCTACCTGGCTTTGCCCCCCACAGTCTATGAAACTGTCACCAAGAACATTCAAGAGACCTGCATGAGTCAGACAGGCTGGAACAACATCATAGTGGAGAAGCCCTTCAGGAAAGATCTGCAGAGCTCCAACCAGCTGTCGAACCACATCTCTCTGTTCCGCGAGGACCAGATCTACTGCATTAACCACTACCTGGGCAAGGAGATGGTCCAGAACTTCATGATGCTGAGATTTGCCAACAGGATCTTTGGCCCCTTTGGAACCAAGACAAAATTGCCTGTGTGATCCTCACATTTAAAGAGCCTTTTGGTACTGAGGGTCATGGGGTCTACTTTGATGAATTTGGGATCATCAGGGACGTTATGCAGAACCACCTCCTGCAGATGTTGTGTCTGGTGGCCATGGAAAAGCTTGCCTCCACAGATTCAGATGATGTCCGTGATGAGAAGGTCAAAGTATTGAAATGGATCTCAGAGGTGAAAACCAGCAATGTGGTCCTTGACCAGTATGTGGGGGACCCCAGTGGAGGAGGAGAAGCTACCAACGGGTACTTAGATGACCCCACAGTGCCCCGTGGGTCCATTGCTGCCACCTTTGCAGCAGCTGTCCTGTATGTGGAGAATGAGAGATGGGATGGGGTACCCTTCATCCTGCGCTGTGGCAAAGCCCTGAATGAACACAAGGCTGAGGTGAGACTGCAGTTCCGAGATGTGGCAGGCGACATCCTCCACCAGCAGTGCAAGCATAATACGCTGGTGATCTGTGTGCAGCCCAATGAGGTATACACCAAGATGATGACCAAGAAGCCTGGCATGTTCTTCAATCCTGAGGAGTCAGAGCTGGACCTGACCTATGACAACAGATCCAAGAATGTGAAGCTCCCTGGTGCCTATGAACACCTCATCCTGGATGTCTTCTGTGGGAGCCAGATGCACTTTGTCTGCAGTGATGAACTCAGGGAAGCCTGGTGTATCTTCACACCACTGCTGCACAAAACTGATCAAAAGAAGCCCCTGCCTATCCCCTATGTTTATGGCAGCTGCGTCCCTACAGAGGCAGATGAACTGATGAAGAGAGTGGGCTTCCAGTATGGGAACTTACACCATCTGCCCTCTGCCCCTTTTGGCCACCCTTTCTGTATCTGTCCTTCCCACCACCTAACCTGATATTAGGACTAGTGACCCACATTGGAAGGACTTTGGGACCATAGGCCTTAGCCACACATCCCAGTCCCTGGGCTCATGCCACCACTCTATATCCTACGCTGCTACTGCTGGAGCCACCTTCACTGCTGCTGCTGTTAGCACCACCACTGAGCCCAGCTACATTCCTCAACTACCAAGTTCTCAAAACTCACTGTAATTCTTTCAAGGCCACCTTTGACCCTATCTGAGCAACCCACCTCTCCACAAGACCCAAATCACCTCCTCCCCTCACTCCAGTCCCTGCTAAGGGAAGAACAGCCTATCAATCTGTTCCTAGACTCCTCAAGGCAGGAGTTAAAAACAATGGGGAGGAACCTTGAGCCTCAGAGGAATAATGACCAAACCATACTCCCTAATGTCTATGGGCAAGCTCCTCAAAACTCAAAGGAAGGATCAAGGGTACCCATTAGAGAGGACCTGCCCATGGCCACAACAGATTCAGTGCCATTTGACACTGCTGGAAGAGACCACATACTGCCTAACAATATTGTGGTGCCAGAGATGTCCCCTTACCAACTTCATATTCCATGGTCATCTTCATCCCACCCTTCTTACCAAAGGAAGGCAGAAGTAGCAGCTAGGATTTCCCTGCCCAAACCTAGCCATTAAATCCTCAAACAGTTAAAAAAAAAAAAGTGCATAAAGGAATTAACTCAAAACCTCAGTTAATCCCACCTTTCCTACTAGACTTTCTTAGATTTGCACAAACTTTCAAGACAAAGAAAAAAAAAAACCCATAAAAACACTGCTGTTAAGGACTGCTGGATAATCATTGAATGCTAAATAAGAATATTAGCTTTTGCTTTAAAACTGTGAGGAACAATTTATTTTATTATTTTTTCTTATTTTATATCGATTCTAGTTCCCTCTCTCTCCTTCCCTCCCTCCCATGCCCCCTGACCCTCCCTCCCATCCCATTCCACACCCACTCCACAGGGAGGGTGATACCTTCTAGAAGGGATCATCAAGATCTGTCAAGTCATTTGGAGTAGGGTCTAGGCCCTGTGAGGAACATTTTTGACTCCACATCCTCCAGGATGGCTTTTTCTAAAAAATTTCATATTTATTTATATTTATTTTTAATTATGCATACAGCTGTATGTCTGTGTATAAATTAGTACACTTGAGTGTAGAGTCTACGGAGGCCAGAAGAGGACCCTATAGCTCTTGCTAAAGTAGCAGGTGGTTGTGAATGGCCCAACATGGGTGCTGCGACCCGGACTCTGGTCTTCTGGAGATGCTGTACATGCTCTTGATTGTAAGCTGTCCCTCCACCCACCCATTAGCTGGTTTCATGAAAGAAGACCTGCTTTGGGTCAAGGGTTAAGGTGCTGGTTACCCTGTTTTGACCTAGAATGTTACTATGCAGAAAGTTTAACCAAACACCTGGGCGAATGTTGATGTGTATCAAATGAGTGAGGTGGACCTGGTCATTAAGACAATGCCACTAAAATGATTGGTGAAGAGGCAAAAAGGCTCAGCGAGCCCTTAAAACAATGTATATGGCACTTAATTAAAGCCTGAAGGTGGTTTTGAGAAGTGGGGATAGGACTTGGTCTAGAAGCAGTGATGGGCAGGGATAGATAAAAGACTGAGCAGCTCCAGGCTGCTAGTGGCACACCTAAGATCTTGCCCTGGGACCTCAGGACAGTCCTTACCAGGCATGAGCCTTCATTCCCTTCGGGGAGGTGTCTGCTATCAATACATTTGTTCCTTGTGTTTAATCGCTGGTAGCCTGTGTGTCCCACCATGGGCCGTAACTGTCAGTTTACTTTGTGACTACCTAATGGACAGTAGGTGTGTTCCACTGGGCTTGTAATCACAAACTCAGGTAAGAGAGGAAAAGGGTTTCAGTTAACTTTACAATGGTCCTATTTCCAGGACACTACTGTTGGATTCATCCACCTCCAGGCTGAGGTTCTAGCCATATGGAAATAAATACATAGATCATATTCTCCCCTAGGACAATGCAAATCATGGCCCTCTACCTCTCCTTCCTATTGGCTGGAATCTCTTAGACTCTTGGCTGTGTTCAATAACTTCAGAGTCCTCTTTAGGCCTCTGCTTCCCAACTTTCTTTCGATACTAAATGGAGCACAGAAGAGCTGCCAAGATAAGACCACAGAGAAATTCCTTGGTAAACAGAGAAGGCATCCTGTGTTGTGCATGCCAATGGACTCACTTCTGCTCCCACGCCTGCCCCTCCCATCTCATCTGCACATTGGTCTTCAGCTCTCTGGTTTTTGCTGTAAATAAAAGCTGCTGTCATTGGGGTGACAAGAGTTCATTTCTTTACTTCTCTGGATAATCTACAGAGAAGTTGCTCTTCACAGCACTGCTTTTTAGGGGTAGGGAATGAAGGAGGAGAAATGCACTATGGAGAATGGAAAGGGACTCCGGAGATGGGAAATGGTCCAATAGCTGATGCTTGGCTGCGTCCACCCACACAGAACAGCAGAGATACTGATTCTATGGTGGGTACCATGTCGCTCTGCCTTAGCTTGTTTGGCCGTGACACATTACTTAGATTCCCAAAGTCAAGCTTCCTTTAATTCTTATTATCATTTTAATCTCCTATAGGGACAAAGGTGTGGACCTTGACCTCTAGGAACTGTCTCTGGAATGGGATGAGCACTTAAGACACATGCTCTAAGTCATGTCACTCACTAATCCTACAGTCCCTAGTGAGAGGCCCATCCTCTGCTTTCCTTTAGTGCTTCAGCATTGTGGGCTGGGAACTCACCATTCCCTCCATGGTTCTTGGAGACTCTTAAGACAAGTGACACTCTTGACCCTCGGGGTCAGTTGATTTCCTGGTGATGAGACACCAACCTGAGGTTTCAGAATGACATCTTTTTCTTGTCAACAGCACATATGGCCCACAGCTGGCATCCTACTTGGGGTCAGTGACATGTGTGCTGAAAGTTGATACTTCAGGTGGCAGATGAATGGGACCTAATTTCCTGCAATCTTTCTCCTTTTGAAATGAGAAGTACATCTTCCCTCCCTCCTTTCTTCTCTCCTTCCCTCCTCCTTTCCTCAATCCTTCCCTTCCCCCCTTCCTTTCTTGCTTCTTTCCTCTCTCCTTCCCTTCCTTTTTTCCTTTCTTGATGCCCTGAAGCATCAGATTATTTATTTGGGATATATTTGGGACATATTCTTTATTTTATTTTTAAGCAAGGATTGTTGACTTCAACTATATTTTATGTCTTCCTTCAAACTATCTACAGTATGTAATTAGTTCTTGGCATCACCAACCCCCAGGTCTATGGTTTTCTGTCTTTCTGTTTTACAAATGTGGAGGGCATCGTGGTGAACTAAAATAACTTTGCCATCTGCAAAAGATTTCACAGACAAATAATACTTAAGCTGAGAAATCCCTCGATAAATTTGCCAGTAGACCAATTCTCCTCGCTGGTACAAGGGAGGCTTATAACAGGAACCCTTTGTGCATTGTGGAAGGCATGCATTTTACATGAGCAAATTCTAAACCAACTGGCCATGATTTCTTTCAATTACACTTTCCCCAAAATAACCCCCTTTAGAATAAGTTCTCAAAGGTTTTTCTCTCCCTAATTGTAAGCTGGTCTGGGAGCCCTCAGATGCAGAGGGAAGACTGAGAGCCAAAGCTTTCTCTGTAACCACAGCTACTCCATGCTTTGGAAGCTGTCCATTTTCTTTCTCTCTAGAGAGCTGCAGACAGTTTTTATGTCTTTCCCAAAGTCGATTACCGGTTTTCAGTCTTATCATCTTTTGACTTAAAAACAATCCCAACAAAAGAAATACAAAAGTGACACTCGGCATCCACTGTTCCCCTGTTGTCTAATTTGCTCAGCACTGTGCCTGCATGGTGGGCTGCTCTTCATTGGTGTTTACTACTTGGTGCTACAAACTTGAGGTAGCCATGGGAGGACAATATGAGGACAGCTGTGCTCTTTGTGTGAATTGATTGAAGGCATTCATTCATAAATTAGCCAGACCTTTTGGTTGGTGTTTATTTACTTTAGGTGACAAATCAATCATGTCTAAATGCAAGATGTCATCATGACCCTACCATTGCAACACATTGTCTAAGGTTCAGTTATTTTGTAGTATATGTGAGATTGGTAGTTATATAAAACAATGCTTAATATGGTAGACTCGTTGTTGTTATTATTATTTATATAGGACAGCCATTTGTAGCCCAGGCTTTTCTTAAATTCATAATCACCCTGTCTCAAACTACCAAGTACTGGGATTTCCAGGCAGGCACTACTATGACTATATGCCTGGATGTTTAGATTCTAATTTGTTTTCCAAACACACAGCCTTGTACAAGCTAGATAATCACTGACCCACTGAATTACAGTCCCATCCCTCATAACAACTTTTAATTGTGTGTGTGTGTGTGTGTGTACCTGAGCTCGCACACATACATGTGTGAGCACACATTACTAAGGATCAAACCCAGGATCTCAGGGTTAGTTTTGATTCTTGAATAAATGGTGACTCTTTTTATCAGAGCCATTCATTGAAATAGTATTTGAAATAGTATTTAGGTCAATAAAGGTAAAAAACAAAATGTATAGAGAATCAGGACATAAGAAGAAGGGAACACAATGAGATGGAAGAGAAAGGGAGGAGAGGAAGAGAGGAGATGGAAGAGGAGATTGGTTTGTAGGTCTTCACAGAGCAGAAACAAGAATTTAGCATGCTCAGCTGAGCTTGACATCATCATCACTGAGAACTAAGTAACAGTTGCTGAAAAGTGACAGAAAAATCCTTCAAGGCCCTTGAATAAAGTTTTCAAATGTGTATCCAAATCCAGGGAGCCATATCAGAACTGCCTGGGTGAAGCTTCTTAACTAAACCCATATGGTGGCTAGACTCTCCTATTCCTCCTGAGACCTAGACAACTCTGGCTTATACCCTTATATATCTTATGCAGGTCCAAATGGCCCCATGTGGAGATTTCTGGAATG